GTTTGGTGCCCTTCAGGCACCGCAAAAGGGGGCAGGGGGTCACCTTGCCCTGCTTGACCCCACAGGAGTGTTTACTCCACCTAGGCACTCTCAAACGGGAAGCACTGGAATCACACTGGAGCTGGACACCCAGCCTTCAACTGGCACCAATCACCCCATTATAGCACACCTGGAATTTTAACAGAGCTGGACAYCCCCAAACTGGGACCACCAGCCCCCAACAGGGACTACTGGGATCCCCCTAACACCTCCAAACTGGGTTGCTTCAACAGGTCCCAGACTGGACCTGGGATCCTCACCTTCCCAGGACAGCCCACTCCAGCTATGTCACAGACCCACATGGCACCCCCAAGATGGGGGTCACTGCCCCTCCACAGTCACTGCAGCCCCACATGTGGAAAAATTGAACCATTCCCCAGTTGAAGCACTGAGAACTCTCCTACACCAACTCAGTGCAAACAGCAGCTGAATCTCCTCACTCTGGACCCTATTGGGAATATGGATTAACCACCCCACTGACAGGAATCCTCCTGCCCTCTCAACACCCCCCTTTTCCTCCCCCACCAGCTCCAGCCGCTGCCTTTCCCAGCTGGGGGACAGAAGGGGACCGCTCTGGTGTGTGTAATTTAACTCGTTTTATTTAGACTCGAAGGGAACTGCGGCCCAGTGGGACCGTGACCCAGTAGAAACGCAGCAGTACATCAGGAACGGGGCGGGAACAGGTGAGCTGCAGCGGGCTGTGGTGCCCAGGCTGCTGAAGGAATGGTCAGTTGGTGAGAGAAGGGTTTACGACAGCTGCCCGCAGTCAGTGATGGTGATCTTCTTGCTTGTTTTGCCATCTTTTGAGCCACAGCGCTCCATGGCCTCCACTACGTTCATGCCCTCCTTGACRCGGCCGAAGACGACGTGCTTGCCATCCAACCTGGTGGAAAAACACCGGTCACAGCCAGTCCCCAATGTCCCCAACAGAGGGCATCTCCCAGCCACAGCTCTCCTCCCACAGCCCACAAACTCACCACTCGGTCTTGGCAGTGCAGATGAAAAACTGGGAGCCGTTCGTGTTGGGGCCRGCGTTGGCCATGGACAGGATGCCAGGGCCCGTGTGCTTCAGGATGAAGTTCTCATCAGGGAACTTCTCCCCATAGATGGATTTGCCTCCAGTGCCATTGTGGCGCGTGAAGTCACCGCCCTGTGAAACGGCAGCATTTMAGGTCACGGGTGCAGAATGCTCTGGAACTGGCTGCAGGAGGGAGGCAGAACCAACCTCCCACCCTAAATCTGTCAGCATCCAAGTCCAAACCCCACACAAGTGCCAAATCGCCTCATCCACCCACCCACTGATGCAGCAGGGGCACTACGCACCTGGCACATGAACCCAGGAATGATTCTGTGGAAGCAGGACCCCTTGTAGCCGAATCCCTTCTCACCAGTGCTCAGGGCACGGAAGTTTTCTGCAAAGGAAATAAAACCCCACCATGTAATATGCTTTATTTTTCCAGGGTTCAGGGCAGTACTAGGGCTCGACACAGTTGCAGTGGAGCCAAAGCTGCTTTACCAACCTGCTGTCTTCGGGACCTTGTCTGCGAACAGCTAGGAAGAAAGGAAAGAAATTTGTCAATCTGGGCCGGTGACCAGCCGCTGTCCCCTGTTCCCCAGGGCCACCCCCAGTCCCGGGAATCCCCCCCAGGCTCGGAACCTGGTGACCCCTCTGGCTGGCGGCTCCTCGGCCGTGCCAGCAGCTCCAGAGCCYTCCCCGCCTCACACCGTTATGTGGAAGCTCCGAACTAACAGCTGCGGCAMCACAAGCCTCACCAGCGGGGCAGAGCAGCGCTCGTTCCACTGGCCTGGATTAAATCAAACATTAATATGCCCGAAGCCTTCCTGGGCGGGGCGCGGGCGCCGCCTCTCAACGCTCCAGAAGGATTTTGGGCTCGATGCGCCACCCGTGCGGGAGCGCGGCCCCGAATCTGCAGCAGCGGCGGCGCCCGGAGCCGGCCCAGCCGTGCCAGGGATGCTCCGCGCCCCGGGCGGGGTGACAAATGCTTGGCCCTCCAGCGAYAATCCCGCCGCGATCGGGATGCCTGCGCTCTCCGCCGGCATCCCCAGAGCCGGGMAGCATCGCCCGGGAACTCGACGCGGCTCCTCCCGATGCTCCGGGGGCCCCGCGATAAAATGGCGGCCACGGCCCCGACCCGCAGTGGGGGGAGCTGCCGCGCCCCCCCGGCGCCGGGGCGGAGCGGAGCCGCGGCGGGAACACGGCGGCGGCGAGGCCAGCGGGGGCCGACGCTAACGGGGAACCAGCGCTACCGGGCCGCGTACCGCGACTCCCGCGGGCGATGGCGCGCCCCGGGCTGGCACCGCGCCGCCGCTCCTCGAGCTCCCCGAGCCCGATGCCGAGGGGCCGGCGGAGCCCTTTGTTCGCCCGCCGGACCGGGGGCGCCGC